ACAAATTCTGCGAAGGACACGTCTATCTTACGAATGTATCAGGATATCGCCAACATCGCGAGAATTAATGTAAAATTGGAGATAGATATATCGGTTTCACCTAGTTATGTGCTTGGAAAAAATATTTATTTTTCACTCTCTGTAACAAATTTAAATGGTGTATGTAAATGACCACATTTATGAACGAAAGCCATTCAAATGCTATTACGATGAGGGCAACGAAACACATTTAAATATATCGGCCTTATTTCAAAGTGTTCATATTATGTGTTGAGATAACCCCTCAATATTAACGTAATTGTTCCCCACCACTTCATGTCGCAAATGTCTATTATGAAGTTTGTATTAAATTTCATTTGTGCAGTCTGCCGGAATATTAAGCATATTAGCATCAACATTTGCATATATGGTGATCGAAACTCTTCCTCTAACTCATGTTAGAAATAAGTAAAAAATTCTTTGCTATTTAATAAAACGGTTTTTGTAAGCGTTATCCTGCTTAGTAATTGACGACAGCTCAACACATTTTCTCTGGTACTTGCAGTGAATTGACTTATGGAATGCAACTAATGCTCACAGTGAAGGTAAAATGATAAGCGGCTTATTAGCACATCTACGGAAGTTTTCTGCATTAAAAATTTCACAATTTTAATGATAACATGTTGAATTCTTCTGCTAAAAATGTGCTAGAGGCGTGTATGGTAGCTTGTTCTTTTCAACAGAATCTTAAGTAAGAAGAAACAGAATCCTCAAAGAACACCAAAAAATGGCAATATTGAAAATATTGCTGGCTCGGTTTAACTTGGCGTGTACATTATCAGCGACAAGCACAACTTGTGAAGGGGAGGAGGGGGGGGGGGGGTTAAAGAAGACTTTTTCACGATTTATCATTGAGTCCTTGAAGACTCAGCTGGACAATTTACTCTTATCTGACGACAAATCCGACATTTTTTGGCATTTTCACGAAATAACGATGTCAACTCGACCAGATCAACAAGTTGGTTTGCTACTTAAATCTGATTTGTAGATATATATCCACATCCATTCTTGTTGGTCATTGGTCATAGGAAAAACGTCTTAAGTCTCTTCATGTTTCATATACCTGGTTTAAATCAGGTTTGTAAAGGCTTACAGCACTGTCAACTCTTAAAATGCTGAAACCGAAAGCGTACGTCCATTGTCACCAGTATAAAGCCAGGCCAGCCTGCACATCTGTGACCAGGCACGCTCTATACTGTTGGGTTACAGCTATAAATATTCAAATTGATATCCCTAAAATTGATAACAGACAGTCCCAATAATGGAAGTGGGACAAATTCATTTAAAATATTCAGCATGTTAAGGGTAAACTTGTCTTGTTAAAATATTTTCTGATCTGTTGAATTTATTTTTGTAGTACATGAGATACTGATATCAATATTTTGTCTGTCTATAACATTTAAAAATGTTATTTTTTTAATTAAAAAGAAAACACACACAATTTATTTCTATTTAAAATATATAAAAGGTACCAATGTCATTATTTAAAATGTTATTTATCGTTTGCCTAGCGAAAACTATGTCAGGTGGTATGCCAAAATGATCTATTGTGTTATTAAGTATAAAGTATAAATGCATAGGCTATGTTAAATGTAGAAGTTTTTTTGAAGATGCAGGGCCCAGCGGTCATGCGGCTTGAAGTTGGCAGCATTACGGCCATGAGACATTCCGGAAAGAAGTTTGAAGGGATGACCGGCCCTGTAACCTTTTATGTTCCTGAGGTTTGTCAAGGTAATTAAAGCTACCCTAATTTAATTTTCAAAGAAAAATCTTGTATTTTAAAAGGTATATAAAAAGAAAAGGTTACTCCCAACTTTTAAAATGTAAAGATTAAATAAACATATAAACTGCTTTTGATGACGTCTCGAGACATATCTTGTTATTTCAAAGACATAAAAACAAAATAACAAAAACAAAATTCACAAGTAAAACACTTTAACTGAGGTTCGTAAGAAATTGTTGTTATTTTAAAGATATATCAACAGAACTTACTCTGAAGAACTTTCCAAGTTTATTATTTTAGAAAAGTTTTAAGCTTAGCGGCCCAGCCACCTAACAGTCTAAAGTTTTTTAATTGTAGAGATTCTTAAAAACAATTATAACAGCCTTAATTTTGTTGTTCCCGTGAGCAAGATACTTAGCACTTAAAAAAAATGAAGAACTTTCACCCAGTACTAGTTAGTCCAAGGAACGGATTTGAGAGTTGGACCTAAACTAGATATAAATTAGAATCCCTAAAGAATAGTAAAAACGACACAATTGAAAATGTTGCTGACACTGAAATATTAGGCCGTTTGGCCATCCGACTGAAATCTTTACAATAATGAGTTAATAAAAAAGGCACATTTAGTGTGAATTTGCCTGTTTGAATAAAACATATTGGGATAACAAGAATTGTCTAGATCTTAAATAAGCGCCATTTATATTGTTTTTTTTTATATAAATTTCCGATTTTCCAAAACAATAAATCAATAAGTTATAATAATTGTTATATTTCTTTAAAAACATATCTGTGAAATTGTAGGGCTCAAACCTCACAAACCGTTTTTTAAAAGTGTTATCCTGTCTTTTTATAAATCTTTTAAATGACTAAAATGAGATTAAAACTTAGTCAATAGTCGTTCAAATTGCTTTGAGAAAGTTCTTCATTTTTTAAAGTTTAGGCCGCCGATTTCACGGCTCTATGGTAGGTCGCTATGTCGCCAACTTCTCATCGCTTTATTTTGATTACAAGCATCAGAAGAAATTAAAATATTTTCAAATTGATTGATGTTAAACCATATAGTCTAGTGAATATGGCAGCTGATGAAGAGTTTAGAATATCTTATCACGCAATTAATAAATCGAGCATATAGCCAAGCAAGTAACCACGGTGTTGCTAACCTGTCCGCGAGAGATGTATTCACTTCCTGGTTGAAATAATTCATTACACAACATCAATGTTAATCATTTAAAGTGTTTTATGCTTTTGAACATTATACGGACTTAGTGTCCAACTTTATTTGTCATCCAATGAAAACGCTCTATTTCTGTGCGTTAATTTTCATAGAAGAACAAATGTCGATACTATATCGAATTCCGTCCATAGTCGACTTCTATTTTTCATAGTACTTCATAGAACCGCATAATGACGTAATAAAGTGAATGATAATGTGGCCAAATAAAGCTTGACACTAAATATGTTAGTATTCATCCGTGCTGTTCTACAGAAATTAGAAACATTCTCCTGTCGCTATCGCTCTCGTCGAAGTTTCTAATTGCTGTAGAACAGCACGGATGAACACTAACATATACTTATTGTATATTCAATACGCTTTACGCATTGTGAAATAGGCTCTTAAAACAACAAGTTAAAAAAACAAAAGCAAAAAAAAAAAAACAACAACCCCCCGCCCCCCCCCCCCAAAAAAAAAACATAGATAGAAAGGGTGCTAAAAATCATTCAGGACTTTAAAGTGCGTAATTTGAACTATCTTCTTTATGATGAATACTTTAATACTTTTAAATTTGACCCGCCATGATACCTTATATACCGCAAGCCGAGGTTGATTTTCATACGAAATTTATTCAGATTAATAGTATCTGTCATATTTTGCGGTTCGGATGGAATATCCGTCCCGAGGTGACCCGCCCATGGGCGGGTGACCGAGGGACGGATATTCCGATCCGAACCGCAAACATATGTCAGATATTTTTTCTTGCATATTCTACCATATTCCATTATATTTTAAATTCTTTATCTTTATTTTCAATGAAAATTTATATCATTACAACCGTAACTACTTTCTTACAACAGCGTATGAATTACAACTTCATTCATAACGGTAAAATGACGTCATCCTAATCGTGCCATTGTACAGCACGCGACTCATCTGGAACCCCCCATGCCAGATGAAATTTCCGGCATGTGTAAAACTCACGGAAACGCCAGTCTGATATGCAAGAAAAAAAAATATAACAAAAATGAACGGATATTTCAGACAGTCGACCGTTGGTAGCTATATATAGATGGAAAGATAGGCGTAAAACATGCAATGGAATCTTTGTAAGTTCCCTACAATTTTGTTGACCGAATAAGTATAGAAGTATAAAATAATCAAACTTAATAATGTACATGAACTAGTTAACGTTAACCGTGTATACAAAGTAGCCGTAACGTGTTTAGATTTATGATGCGGTAATCTCCTTAGCAGATATATACTAGAGTATCAAATGTCATTATAGAACAGTGACTAAAGATTGCGATCATAAATGTTGTAGTGCGGATTTTTTTGGCAAACAGTTTATAGTAATCAAATAAATTATTGGACAATATCACATTATCAACGCTTTATGATTTCATGGCTTGAAGGCCAGATAAGCCTAAAATATCATTTATAAAATATATATTGTTTAAAGACAAAAAGTCTAATTTGTTTTCTTGTTATGGTTTCAGATAAAGGTTTTTGTTGGTCACATAGCTGAGCATCTCTACCTCTTTTAAGCTTTAGTAATTAGTACAGATATTAAGAGAGATTTAGTATTTTGTATAGAAGTCAAAATTACATTATTTTTTTTAATTTTGCAGTATTAATCAAAACTATTCTAAAGTCAGTGTTTTTGTCTGCAGACGATAAGCCTATCACGTATTCAAAAGTTACAAATTACCTCTTTATGAAACACATTTTAGATCACTTTTAAAGAAAGGGGAAAAAGAGTCAAACTTTTTAAGAAAATTGCATCTATTTTGTGCCTGACGTGAAAAATATTAATGTGAAGAATAGTATGCCTTTAATGAAATAATTAATTATTGATTAACCGATTCTTAAGATATTATTGCAGAAAATTGTTATCTCTACTTTATACTTCAAGAGCATGTGGCATATTATCAACTGATTCGTGTCGATTATTTTTAAGAACAAAGAATACTCTAAATATTTAATTGGTTTATACCTTTACAGCACAGTTACACAGTGCATTAGTGACTGGTCGGTTGTTTAGTCAAATTATACAGTGTACCAATTCAAACGTATTTAACTCGGATATCCCATTTTTGTCACCAGTTTTCCCCTGATCTATTTCTATTGGAGAAAGACCATTTTTGGCGAAAGCTCTCCAAAAAGGACTTTTTAACAGGTTTGAATATTTATTTATATTTGTAAAAAATAACATAAATTATAACATGTAAAATGTACCATTTTCAATTAATCAAATCATTGCTTCCTTTTTGGCCATAAAACATACCGAGGCGGTTGTTATGGTGAAACATATCGATTTTGTGTAGCTTATTGTTGAGTGGAAATAATCGAAAAAATGAACAAATGGTAAAGAGGGTAGAATTTTAGTAAATTTCTCAAAGAGGGTACCGATATGGATATGCACCGTTATAATTAAATGATGGAATTTTATCGGTTATGAAAGGTGTGTAATAGGAATCCAAATAGTTATCGACACCTTCATATCGGTTAATTAAAAGTAGTGTATCACCGATGACCATTTTTAAAGGAAACCAGCTATAGAATAACGCATGACAACCAATAAAATAAATGTGTGAGTTCAAATGAAATGACCGACCGTCTATGAACTTGGGTGTTAGGTATCTATATTGATTCCTTTCCATGTGGTAAATTCGACAATGAAACTGGCATCGCCCAAATGAAACACAAATTAATGAAATCGTACATTTTTTTCATTTAGATAAAATTTTAATCTGAAACTCGAGTACTTATTTTTATTAATTTATAGTTCAAAATAAAACACAGATTATATCGTGACCAGTAACTGTTGGCTAGAGGCAATTATTATCATTCATTTCAGCTGTTCATTACATTGTATCTCTTTGCTGTTAACAAAATAATTGGAGAGGAAACGTAAGCAAACGAACAAATGCGTACTAAGCTTTTCTCAAAAGGCGATTGCCCTATGACAAGGGAATATGTATGAATAATATCTATAGCATAATATTGGATCATGGACTGCAAATGTCAAGATTTTAGAGGATTCATTTCTTCAAAGGCTTTATATTTAAACAGAGTTATTCATGTTTTATTCCGCCTGAAATCGGAAATTAAAATTTTGACAATTTAAATTGCCAATAAATAAAACGAAACATATATATTTTTTAAAATTTTAAATCTTTTAAATTAACTAGAAAAATTTAAAAAACCGTGTCATAAATGGAATTTTAATATCCTTTCTTCTTGCCAGGTGACTTTCAATCGGCTATAGAAGACATTTCATGATGACCGACAATAACCTGATTGGTATGTTCCCATTTTCATCTTCACATTTACTTTTGATTTGCACTCTTACATTTGTTATTAAGTGGGTTTTATTTGTTGTTGTGATAGTGGTGATATCGATGATTATGATACTTATGATGATGATAGCGATGATGAGGTCGATAATTGTGGTGATGATGATGATGTTAATGCAAGTTAAATGAATAAATGCAAACGATTTCGATTATGCGTCTGCTGGAAGCTTCAGCAATATTGATTGAGTATTATAATAAAAAGAATTATGTGGTTAACACTGACGCGGTTGTTGTTTTTGGTAGTAGTGTTAAAGGGAGACACAAAATTTTCATTTCTTAGTTTTGATTTTTTTTTCATTCCTAATTCTGTAAATGCCCTCAAAAGGAATATATTAAACAGACAAAGGAATAAAACTTTTCTCCATATAAAGAGTAAAATGGTGGTTTCCTGACCTGAACCGCGTGGGTCAGGTTAGAGCGCTAGGATTTCATAATAGTTGTCACAGTGAACTCTGGAAACATTGAAGAACATGTCAAATGAATGATTTTTACTTGTTTCAATTATGAAATATCTACAGTATCTGTTAATGTAACTAAAAGGATTTGTACAAGTCACCTGACTTGTTTTAAAACTATTCGGTGATTCTATTGGCGTCTAAATTTTGTTCAATATATATAGATATATTTATGTTTCAAATCCAAAATATATAGAATTTATAGAGAAATTCATGCTGAAACTTTTAGAAATGTCATTTTAGCGTGAGTTGAGAACAAAAGATCATTTTAATATTTTTGTCATTATTTTGCCTGAATATCCCTTTAACAATGGAAATATTTATCTTTTATGGCCATTAGGGCATATAATGATATTGCAATGAAAATGTAAATGATAATATTGTTTTTGATGATTATGATGATTATGAGATAATGGTTATGATGATGATGATGATAGTGAAGATAATAGTTATGATAATAAAGACATTATGGATTATGGTAATAGTAGTCACTCGATTTTGGCTAAACTTCATACATTCTCTTTAAACCAGAAATCGCAAATAAAGATGAGGATGGTGCTAGAACAAATGAAAATGATACTGGTAAGTTGTAAATCAAATTTGAGATGAATTTCGAAATTTTGCTTTCATAACTACATACATAACTAATGATCTGTGTATGTGCAAAAATAATATAATTTTTAAATGATTTCTCAAAGAGGCTACCAATATGGATATACCCCGTGATAATTAAATCATGGAATTTTATCCTTTTTTGAGACATGTTTAAAAGGAAATGACCGACAATAACCAAAAAATTATGTTTTCATCTGAATATTCAAATTTACTAATCAATGTCATTCTTAAACACATGCATTTGTTATTAAGTGGGTATTATTTGTTGTTAGTTAGTGGTAATATCGATGATGATAATATTTATGATGATGATGGTGATAGCGATGATCAGGATGATGATTATAATGATGATGATGCTGTTAATGCAAGACAAATATTACAAATGAAGACGATTTTGATTATGCTTCTTCAGGTGACACTACAGCGATATTGATGAGCATGATAATCAAAAGAATGATGTAATTAACGCTGATGCGGTTGTTGTTCTTGGTAGTGGTGTTGAAAATGGAAATAAATACGTTTTATGACCATTATTGTTGATGATGATATGGTGATGAAAATGTAAATGATAGTGTTGTTGTTGTTGTTGTTGATGATGATGATTATGATGATGATGACGAAGACGACAATGATAGTTAATATAGTAGTTTTGATAATAAGATTATACGGTTATGACAATCTCAGTGATATTGACTAACATTTATACGTTTTGTTTAAACCAGACAGCCCGATTGGAGACGAAAAGTCTAAACTCAAAGGAAATGATACTGGTAAGTTGTAAATCAAATTCGAGCTCAATGTAGAACTCTTTTTGGACCCCCTTTGTGTCAAGGTCATTGTTACTAAAAATAGAAACATGGTTTTCAGATAACTACAGTAAGCAATGATCTATATATTGTTGTTAGGAGTTAGGAAAAAATATTGTAATAAAATTTGGCATTTAGTAAGCCTATGAAGAGACCTATCCTTGTATTGCTGTTGGGGTCGAGGTCCCTTTTGCTAAAGATATAAAACTGTTGTTTTTTAAGTTAGGCAATAAATTGTTATCATTGGTACACATATAAAAGATAATAGTAATAATAATAGGTTGAGTTCAAATTTCGCTTCAGACTTTTTTTTAAACATGTACAGGTTGCTAATGTAAATTGCTACATCAAGTTAGAATCATACATAACAACAAAATTTGTTTGTTTGTTTGTTTCATTTCACGCCGTTTCACAACAGTATTTCAGTCATATAGGCGGGTAGTTTCCTAACCATCGTTCCTTGAGAGTTACACCAGTACTAGACTACCTTCCTCCGCGCTAAACTACCAAAGCATCTCCCGGGGATCGAACCCACACCAGAGAGGTAACTGGATTAGAAGTCATCGACTCTTACCCCTCGACCACGGAGGCGGTTATAACAACAAAACCACGGGAGAAAGATATATGGACGGTGTTTGCAACAATAAAAACATAATCAGATATTACCTACTTTTGTAAAAAATATAATAAATTGTTCTGGAATGTTCACACTAATTATAAATTGCTTTATAAACATTTATTTTTCAGGAAATAGGTCAGCATTTGGTTAATATGTCTTCGAAACACAAAATCGTGAAGAGTATGTCTGCCTCCTCTTCATTTAAGGCAAAATACGACTTACTGTCGTTACATTTGTACCCCGATCTCCTTACATACTTTTTTGCCCTTTACGTATAACGTATCTCAAAAATCATTTAAACAGTAATAAGAAAATAACGTAGAGGAGTTGAATACTTGCGAAAAAGGCATTTAAATAAAAGCATTGTTTGCTATTACAGTTTATCAAAAAGAGTTGGTGCCCTGTTTTCAAAAATATGAACGCTAACTAACAGATTCTAATTTACACTACGTTCTTTTGTTTCACAGGAGACCCTGATACTAGCCAAGCCGCTGATTACAAGGATGAAGCAAAGAAATTGCGCAGACTGCTGAGGCTTTACTTCTATTCAGCATTCAAATTTAAGGCGAATACATGCCAATTTCATTTAATTTACTGTTTCGTCTTCCTGGTGCAAATAATAAAAGTTGCTTTAATTACTAGTCAGGTTTGATACTTAGGCTACATTTTTTCTTACAATTTTTACAGATTCAAAAACAAATGAGATATTTTTATGTAATTGTGATTATGATAAAACAAATACAAATTAAACAACCCGTAATTTAATAAAATAAAATATAGCTAAATAATCTCATTCATGAAAAAAACTATAAAAAACTAGCAGATATTAAGCTCATAACAACTAAATACGAATTGTTTTTACTTATAAGTAAGTATTCATAACCATTCGACTATGTAGGGCCACTGTCACTCTTTTCTATGGTTATATTTGACGATTTTTGCATTACTGTTAACAATTCAGTTGTTCAAATTTGGAAATGACCGAGGAAACTTTAGCTCAGTTGTCGACAGAGGCCATCTTGTCCTTCGACATCTTCTTTTAGAAAATTGGGATGCTAGTAAGTCATTTTCTTCATTAATATGATTGTTTAAATGCGCATGCGAAACAAATAGTGTTGCAGTATTCTGGATACTGTAAAAATAATCTAGATTCAATTCTTAAAGAAGATAACTTTGATATTCTTTGAACAATAAGTTTAAAAAAATTAAAAAAATAATTTGTCACTACGAAACACATCACAGTATCAGTTTTCGATATTTTGATGGACTTTTTATTTAACAGGCTGGGAAACGTTGCCATATCCTCCTGCACACGGTGACTTTGCCGTGTATACTATTGATGATCTCGAGAAGGGTATTAACTATGCTGTTAAAAATGTAAGTGCATTTACACTTATCCTTCTTGTATCAACAAGTGACAAAACCTTTGCCAAAAGTATAATACCGGGCCACAGTGTATTCCCGTTAAGTCTGCCCAGGCTCTTCACTGTTGGTCAACCAACTCCTTTATCTTGATATCTGCAATATTAGTAAGGAACACTTAATAAAACGGAAGCTGACCAAGACATTGTACATTATCAGCAGATTTAAGGATAAAACATTTCAAAACAGGTCTCTGATAGAGTTTCCCAGATTAAAAAACTGTATGCCCTCTTCATATAGGCATGCATGTTAGAAAGAAAGTTACGAAACAGCCAGTTTACTCTCTGAACATGTCATTGACTGTTTTGTTTCCATATTTAAACAAGTATCAAATGAACGTTATATAGAAATAACTTGCTTCTGTCTTTTGATATCAATTTTATCAGGCGAGGCTGATATGGGCTAGAAAGGGCAAGGCTTGCCGAGCCCTTTCTGCCCATTATATCAGCCGAGCCTGATAAAATTGATATCAAAAGGCAGTAGCATGTTTTTCTATTTATCATGTAAAACATAATAAGTGTCAAAATAACAAAATAATCTACTTTTAAATAGCGAATTTCGTAAAAAGAGGGATTTTTTGTGCAAAGAAATAATTCTTGAAAACAAATTCTTCCGCCCCTGAAACTTAGAATTTGTAAATGGAGGCCATTTTTTCTTTCGACTCGGATAAAATATACAACAGAATACGGTAAAATTCTTACCTTTATCCAAAAATCCACTACGAATCACATAAACTTAACTTTACTGCAATTTTTGTCTTGAATAAAATAATTACATTTTTAAATTGAAACTGGAGTTGATTTCTATATTCAAACTTACATGTCTTGAATTGTCAAATTCTAAAGTTCACGATAATTTCAATCAAAGAAAGGTCAAATCGGCAATCAAACACAAGCCAGACCACACCGAATCAACATCCAGTGACGTCACGAAATGGAGTCGGCGACACACTCAGATCGTGGGAAATAATCAGAAAATGTTCAATTATTCATACATAGCTACGTAATTAAAAAAGTTATCGATGGTATTTGATGCATTTATCAGTCGGGCATACTTCCTGATCGGGAAACAAGGGGATTCCCCTTCAAGGCTTCCCGATCAGGCAACAAACGTCAAAATCCTTCCCGATCGGGAAGTTTTTTTGGCCTTTTTTACGTAGTTCAAGAAAAATGACCGGTGCATAACAGTTTTCAATCCACTTCAATATGAATATCACACTTTTGTTCAGAAAAGATACATCTAAAATCCTACCGAGTCATTTTCTTTTAAAATGTCTACAATTAAAATAATCTGAAAGTGAACTTAAGTAAAGTTTTTAGATTTTACCAAAAACTAGCCACTTCCCGTTTTGGGAACGTTGCTTCCTGATCAGGCATCTAGCAAAATATTCATCATTAAAAGTTTAAGATACACTGCTTCCCAATCTGGAAGTACCTTATATTTGTAGTAGTACCTGGCCTTGATGATTAGAAATTGTTAAGCCTGGTCAGTTTTTAAAGTCATGTGGCAATAATTCAATCACGACTGGAATATATCTGGCGAAGCTTATGTCCTTGTTAGGCGTAATAATATCTATCAACACATTAGCTATACTTGACGGACAGTACAAAAATCATCATTATATTACAAAAGTTTCATATTGTTAAGATTGTATAGCAAATGTTGAACAACATTGCACAGGGAGTAATTTTTCCAAAAAATTACCATGCAGCTCAAATAATTAAGTTAAATTAAATGTTGACTAGAGCTCAATAAAATATTATTTTTTGGCTATAGCTCAAGACGTGTTTGCATACTACATGTGTTGTAGTGACTGTGTCATATTTCTGTTTTCTGAAACTTAAAGTGTATAAAGCTATATATCTGGTGATAAAATTATTGTTTGAATTTTAAAAAGTATACTTCCAAAATGATTGTATGAAATAAATATGGTAATTTATTGCCTTAAACGCGAATGGCGCATGAACAAAATCATTGCTAAACGGATAAAACCCTACTTAAAATAGCAAAAAAATATTGTGTTCTTGCACATGATTCATGTGTATTAAATAACACAGACATTCTATGTTACATTACTTTTTTCGGGAATCAACCATATAATAATGGAACCAGCATAATTTTGCTGTGGATAAATCTTAATAATATATTTCTGAAGATATAGAACATACCCTTAAAACCACTCTTATTTAAAAAAAAAATGAATAAAATATAAGATAAATAAATAAATAAAACAAGAAATATCATAATGACATATATGCCCCCTTTCTAGCTGAAATTGAATGAAATCTATCATTAGTAAGTGAAACAAAATGGAGAGTAGCTGGAATAAAATATACATTATCATATAAATGTAAATATGAGCATCTACTTCGAACATTCAATGTTATTGTGACCTTGTCCTCTGAAATAGTGACCTCAAAATCAATAGGGGCCATCTACTAGTTATGAACAATTAAAATGTGAAACATAAAAACTTGATAACTTGAAAATAATGCGTAGAAACTATTCTGACATTTAACGCCTTGTGACCTTTGACCTAAAGACTTCAAAATCGATAGGGTCATCTACTAATTATAACCTATCATTAAGTGAAATATAAAAGATTTAGTAATAAATAGTTTTCAAACTAATGAACGGAAATCATTCTGACATTTAAGGACACTGTAACCTTTAAAATGGTTACCCCAAAATCAGTAAGGGTCATCTACCACATATGACTAATCAACACATGAAATAGGAAAACTTTGTGATAAATACTTTTCAATATATAGTGCGGAAACCATTTTGACATTAAAGCAACGTGACCTTGACCTTTGACATAGTGACTCCAAAATCAAAAAGGGTCATCTTCTAGTTATGACCAATCAATATATGAAATGTGAAAACTTCTAATAAAAAAAATAATGTTAAATACCAGTCAAAAAAGATAATGAGCGGAAACCATTCCGAAATTTAAAACACCTGTAACTTTGACCTTTAAGCTAGTTACCCCAAAATCAATATAGGTTATCAAATAGTTATGACCAATCAATATATGAAATATGACGATTTTTTGATAAATAGCTTTTAAAATAATCAGCAGAAACAATGTGGTCTAACGACGGATTAACAAACATACTTAAGGTCAATGTGACGTTGACCATTGACCTAAAGACCCCAAAATCGATAGGGTCATCTACTAGTTACGACCAATCAATATGTGAAATATAATGACTTAGTGATAGATAGTTTTCAAGATAATGAGCTTAAACCATTCTGACATTTCAGGTCCCTGTGACCTTGACTTTTGACATAGTGACCACAAAATCATAGGAGTCATCTATTACATATAACTAATTAATTTGGAAATATGAAGACTTTGTGAGAGATGGTGAGCGGAAACCATTCTGACATTTAGGGTCCCTGTGACCTTGACCTTTGACATAGTGACCCTGAAATCAATAGGTGTCATCTACTATAGTTATGACCAATTAGTATGTAAAATATGAAGACTCTGTGTGAAACAGTTTTTAAGAAAATAAAAATGATGTCTACCGATGGACTGACGGACCAACATTTACATAACATAACATAACATATATTTTATTCAACATAAAATTGTATACAATTTATAGTCATACAGATATTGTGTGGACATAAGCAAGTCAATATACCCGCTCTTCTTCGAAGTAGGGCATAATAAAAATAACTAGGACTGGGTGTGAATAAGAAAGTTGATGTTCGAATATTCGTTTTTCCATATTCGAATATATTCGAATATTCGTTTTTACAAAATTTGAGAAGACACAACCTATGATGCTATCATTTGTATCTGAACTGCTAGACACACCAGACTTCAAAACATGCACGACATGACTCACATGTTGATTTGTTGCACATACAACTTTATTTGTTGGTGTTGTCCCAAGCAATCTCAATCAGCACGAAAGAATTCCAGACTAGAACGCGCTAACTTAAAGAATAAAACTTTCCAAACGGGAAACATTTAATGGTGAATATTATGCTAGATGCCTGATCAGGAAACAGTGTTTCCAAAACGGGAAGCAGCTACTTCTTAGTAAAATCGTAAAACTTCACTCAAATTCACTTTCAGATTATTTTAAGTGTAGACATTTTTAAAGAAAATGACTCGGTAGGATTTTAGATGTATCTTTTCTGCACTAAAATGTGATATTCATATTAAAGTGGGTTGAAAACTATTCTGCACCGGCCATTTTTCCTGAACTACGTAAAAAAGGCCAATAAACTTCCCGATCGGGAAGGATTTTGACGTTTGTTGCCTTGAAGGGGAATCCCCTTGTTTCCCGATCAGGAAGTATGCCCGACTGTTTATGTATTGTTTATCGGAATGGGCAGATAGATTATTTTGATCCGTTGTTTTGTTGATTTGTTCGGCGTAAATTATGTTGGGGTGGGGAAAGGGCGTTTCATTCCTTGTGTTTATTTATACTGTATAGGGGGTATATTTTGGATATTATCATTAATATTGATAGAATTTCAAGTTCATGTGGCTACACAAACATGCGTCTTATTTTTCAAACGAAACAATGTGTTCGTTTATGAAATAATAATCCGACGAAAAAATGTAAACATTTACAAGTTCTCAAAGAAAATCGTCTAGCCAGTTTGATGTCATTTACAATATAAATTATGACGTCACTTCATTTAGTTGGTGCTAAATCTATTCGCTATCTAATTTATTCGTAATTGAAATTGAAATAATAAATTAATAAATAAATAAATATCACATCTTGATTCAAGACTTGTAAGGGTATGAGATTACATTGTAGAATTCACATGCTGATGAAAATGAGAATATAAGCAATTGAAGAAAAGTCCGTTAAAATGGGCGGGGCTTATTTTTGATATCAGGTCACTGACCTGATATCAAAAATAATTATCAGGCAAGTGTTATCAGGCAGTTACCATAGCAGTTGCATGATAAATCCAATTAAAGCCGATACAATACTCATTAGTTTCAAATTATTGGAAAGAAAATATATCAGATGTACAACTTATGATATTGTCTACTTATATTTGCGATTTGCATTAAAACAAAACATACTTAAAGATCCTGTATGCTTTGTGACTGATATTGTTACTGTTTGTATACCACACTTGCAAAAAGATATATAATTATGTATATAATTCTGCAAATAAAACAATTTTCAAACATCAAAGAATATGTAAAACGTGTACTGCAAATATTTGTGCACATTATATTTAATCAATAGATAGCATGCACTCATTTCTTATGGGAAAATTCGACTTAGAATTTATAGAAAATAAATTTCTAACTACCTCCCTCTATTTACATGAAATGTTAAATTGGGTAATATCTTTATAAATAATGCTAATTGGAACTTACAATATTGATAAATCTTATTTTGAGCATCATATTTATGAAATAATACCATGAAATATTGTGTTACAATCTTTTAATACGAAACATATTCATTACTTAGTATTTACTTCCTTGAATTAATAGTCTCGAAACTGAAAAAAAGAATATTCAAGTAAACCAGAAAGGAAGCTAGCTGTTCAAATAACTTATCATAGATTTGAAGTTTCTAAATTTAGAGACACGACATGTTTGTTTAGAAACACATACATCTTACAGTGTTCCATTTGTCAAGATTAATAAACCTACAAGAAATTATCATGTCATTTATTTTGCAAGTTATGCTAACATTTCTATATGACTTTGCATGGAAAACTATGTTATCTGTATTTTCAGAAGCAAACATACAAAATAAGGTTGCATTTTATTTCGAAAGGTTAATTAGAATTAAATATTTTGTAATTCAATTTTTCTGAGATATTTAATAAATTTCGACTGTGCTTGGACGATCAAATTCAATGTTATTTCGAATTACGTATAACAAAACGAAATTTCCTATTCAAAATTATTGCAGTATTATAACGCAGAAAGAGAAGCCATTGGGTACTATGTTCGAACAGCAGACGACAAAATGACAGCAACAATGAAATATTTTGACTTTCCCGGTTTTCATGGTGCGAGTATTGGAGACAGAATAACCATATCTGGTAATCTTAAGTAATTTTAATATTTCGTAAAGGGGATATATTTTAAAATGAATTCAAAGCATAATGAGTTTTGTAAACTTGCAGTCGCCGGACGTTCTTTTTGTACACTTAGACCAACTGTTTTCTATATTTCGTTTTCGACTTTGTTTTAAGGCGATTTGGTTGAAAACAATCTACGATATACTTGATATATTTTAGAAAAAGGTAAGTTGTAAATAAATTAATCCCAGAAAGGTAAAAACGTCCGAAGATTATTAAATAAATTGTTACAAAATGCAAACATTGATCTTTATTGTAGAGAAACACTTTAGAATCGACAAAGGACTGACAGAAGAAGTAACGAATGAAAATGAGACAGTATACAGTTATAATATATCCCGTGAATTTGCCTATCAAAATCTGTCACAACCAGTAAAAAGGTTTGTCTTACATATGGTGTTTATAGATAATAAGTCAGTGTTAGTTTTTCATAAATATAAACACTTAAATACCACTGGCATACTTCACAAATATTATAATAATTATTCTATTAGCTGATAACACTTGACGCCGTAAATTACAAAACACAAGAGAAAATAATAGAAAAAGCAGGAAAACTGCAGAACTACAAAATTGTGTAATATACTCATTACATGCATTAGTTTTAGGCTTAATTTTTATTTTGAAATGTTTTTAAAGTAATCCCCCCCCCCCCGAACTATAATTTATTGAATCTGAAAGCTTTAATGTAAGTCGGTCATCGGTCTTGTTTTCGAGTTTTAACTGTTATACATTATTTTTTTGTACATCTATTTATTTTATCTTTGTTAGGATGTTGTCAACAACACTTCACTTTAAGCTCCATTCTGTACGTTCACACGAAAGCAGCAGGAAGGCAACGTGTCTACGAATAGAGGGCTGCGTGAGTGTATTTTCTCTTTCTTACAACTGCATCGAGATTACAATTGGAGTAATCAAGTTACTTTGATTTACTATATGCCATGCTATGCTACGCTACGCTACGCTACACTACACTACACTACATATTTTAAAATACGATTAAATATTATGTAAAAAAGTGATGAAGATTTAGTTCAATGCATTTGGTCAGTTGCTCATAACTGGTAATAGGACAAAATTATTTTATCAATATACCAAGCATACAACTTATCTTAGAAAATGCTTTCGTATTTCCAGGAGCAAACGACAATAATGATGGCGATTATAAATATACATATTCAATAGAGCGATCTTGAATATTTTCATTTACAGGTAAAATTTGAAGACCTTGACAATAATGGCCAGGTGTTGGTTAACCTTCATACAAAATCTAGTAAAATAAGGTGCAAAGACATGAACCTTTCTTTATCAGGTAAGATATTAATTCGACATGTAGTATGTTTCTGTTATTTTGCACAATAATGTTACTTTACTTAAAGGTTGTGTTTTAGCAAGGATTGTGTTGGTTTCCTTATATCATGACTTTTTTTTTCAATTGGAACTTTGTTTACCTATATGTCTATACAATTCAATGTTGTAAATTTCAATGTTTGCGTTCTAAAGGTTCCATTTCTTATATAACATACATTCATAGAATAAGAAAGCCAAACATCCAGTTTTACATAAAAATGCTACCGAGCATGAAATTTCGCTTGTACCCGATTTCCGAGACATCATCTTGTAGGACGCAATTTAGTCGGATATACTCGAAGATGTTTTGATATGAAATTTTGATTTCCCTTTTACAGACTGGCAATTAGAAACATCTTCAGACGGACTCGAAGCCTTAGTGATTGCTTTTAGTATTATATCATTACTGCTGAGTATTTCTACTATGATCTTTGCGGCGTACACTTTTTGGGTATGTCAGTCCTAACAAGCAATATCATTATAAATACGAGTCTGTTTTATAGCATATCTTGAAGTAATTAACTGTTATAATAACAAGATTATATCATTGTATTTAATAAGATACGGCACATGTATGTCTTATGTTACTGACAATTGCTAAGTTTTATTATATAGATTATATAAATTGACAGAGCAAATAATAATAATAATGATAATAATAACAATAATACTAGTAATAATACATGTAATGATAATAATAAAAAAAACAAAAGCATACATACATACTTACATACATACATACATACATACATACATACAAACATACATACATACATACATACATACATACATAACCGCCTCCGTGGTCGAGGGGTTAGAGTCGATGACTTCTAATCCAGTTACCTCCTGGCGTGGGTTCGATACCCGGGAGATGCTTTGGTAGTTTAGCACAGAGGAAGGTAGTCTAGTACTGGTGTAACTCTCCAGGAACGATGGTTAGGAAACTACCCGCCTATATGACTGAAATACTGTTGGAAAAGGGCGTAAAATGAAACAAACAAACAAACAAACATACATACATACATACCATACATACATACCACACTATACATACTGGATACGTAATTAATAATTCTTATTATATACGCCATCACTAAGGCCCCCACGATTACACGTTTAAACGGATTCGTTTCGATTTTCATTCCTAAACGTTTACAATATTGTTTACCGTTTAATCGAAATGACCATATTGTCTTAAAAAATTTCATAATAATTGCCTGTAATCATGGATTTTATCAATTCTAGTGGTTTATTCCAAAATAAACAAACGGAAAATGGGTGATTACAACCCTCCACACAGCATTACCGTGCAAAATTGCTCGTGACATAATACATTTTTGGTAAAAAATGGGGTTACAATGCAAAAAATGTGTGCTGACTCAATCGTGATGAGCCTTGCACATTCTTTATTTGTACATGTATTAAAAATAGAAAGAAAGACATCATTTGGCGACTCAAATACATGGTGTGTATAGTACATAGAGGTAAGACCGTTTAAACGGTATCGTTTCGGTTCTTAGCAGTCGTGTAAACGTTTACAAAAAATTGTAAACGTGGGAGCCTTAGCCATCACTGAGACCCTTTTGATGTAGTTCACGTCTGCACGAAAATGATCGAAATTACTAAAAGCTTTCAAAAGCAGTGTCGAATACATAGAGTGACGAAATTTATTGCTAATGTTATCACGAAATGTAAGTTTATTTATTTTTATCTAAGATAAGCTTCGTATCTTTAAAATGTATGAGAATTAAGTTTTTGTTATTTTTAGAGAACTAAGCAGTTTATGAAGGAGTACTTTCAGGCATACTTCGGGGTGGAAGTTAATGATAATGCTGAGACGGACCTGCCAGTGTCAGAGTACTTCCGGTTTTTAAAATTCTGGGATGCAACCGTTGTTATCTCCGATATATTGACTTTATACGGGACAGTCCGAATAGCGTTTCATACAGTTGTAATAAATAATTCATTATATTTTTTATGTTTTCTAATGCGGCCTTTTTTTATTCCTTAATCAATGTATAATTTATGTTTTGTCACTGTATTTCTACATAAATGCGTCATATTTAATCTTAAATGATAGAAAAATTTCAATTCTGAAATAAATGATTTTTAACATCATATATTTCGTGAGACTAAACATAGTTTTTTTATTTATTTAATTAAATACTTACATTATCACATTAATTGATCAAACTTGAAAATAATGACATCATTTGCAAATTTCACACGTATTCATATCTTTTAACATCTATTTTGATAGCACAGTGAATGGGTGCTCGGGTTGCTAGATTCCTACGCCGTCTGGCTAGGAGTGGGTTGTGTGATAGCATGGCTAAGTTTGCTGAGGTTTTTCAAGTTTCATAATAAATTTCATGTGAGTTTAAAACAGCGTTTCAAAGCATGCATATGCTATTCATTCAATGGAAAGAAGGCAATTAGTTTAATATAAACAAAATAATTATATGTTTATTGGTGAGTTAAATGGGTTGATATCATTAACCCTTTTGCAAAGATAAGCTTTTAAGATTTTAACACTTTTTACATCTCTTACTGAATTGTATGGTTGAACTAATTGAGTACTATTAAGCATGGCATGGTTGGAAAGCATGATTGCTTTAAATCTTTCACATTCCTGTTTGATTAATTGATAGATTTTAGCATGTTTATTTTTCCAGCTGCTATTTAATACACTATACAAAGCATTTTGGAATGTTGTTGCCTATCTTATCTGCGTTGGAGTGTTGTTTGTCGGGTTTTGGGTTTGTGGATATGTCGTTATGGCGCCGTACCATGTCAAGGTTTGTCACACTCATAACATTACTCAATACACACATATAACTCATCCGATTGCGTTATTTTAACTGATTCAGTATCAACTTAAAATTACAACTTTGTCATGAATGAAATATTTGGCGCTTAGATTTAGCTATATATCAGCATAAAGTTTCAATTCTTATTGTATAAGTGCTTACGAGTATTTGACATAAAAAATTACAATTTCTCATGGGCAATTTTAAAGTTCTTAACTATGTAATTTTCTTTCCATTTCTAGTTCAAAACCCCGGCTGCAGCCGCGGAGACGCTGTTTGCTGTTGTTTACGGCGACGAGATATACGCTACCTTAGCAATACTGGAGTCCGACAAGAGCGGGGGTAACTGGGTGTGGTGGTTTTCAAGGTTCTATCTTGGAACATATATTGCTATATATACTGTAGTTGTTATCAACCTACTCATAGCTCTTTTCATGAGTGCCTATGAGTCTATTAAGGTTTGGATGCCTCATAGTTCTTTGCCATTGCACCATTTTATAGAATTTATCTTTTAAAAACGTCGTAGTCCATATGAACCAAGCTTGAAATAACTTGACAGGAAAGAATAACATCTGGGCTATTCAAATAAAAAGAATAACTATTAGATACATTTAAACACAAAAGAGAATACTTTAGAATTTAGATTGTTAACATATGTATTTTCACAAAAAAAGATTTACAAAATCTCATCTGAAATAACAATATAATTTTTATTTGCATGTTTAAATGGCTTTTATATAATTCAGTTGACATAATATTAGACAAATATGAAAGAGCTATGTGTGTTTTCATTTCTTTTATCACCAAAATGTATCAAGATTTGAATCTTTTTAAAGGCATACTATGAACAGAAACCGGAGGAACGAGAATTGGGACCGATGGAGAAAGCTTTGGTCCGTGCTTTAATTCAAGACGATGAGGGAAGTAATTTTCTTCGGAGCTGGATATATTGCTTAATGAATGACAGTACATCCCAGATTCAAGAACTGAACTCATTGAAAACTGAATTTTCCAAATTTGTTCGCGTGTCTAAAAGCGAAAAAAACGTGAAGCTTCTAAAACCGAGGACTTTGAAAGTGTTTATGGAAGATGAGGAGCACGAAAGGAAGAACTTTAAATGCGGATTTATGAGCTGTTCATTCACATTTTCTGGTGATGATCAAACACCATCAAAGCAAAAGAAACAGAATGTTAACAATGAGATAAATACACCGGCTCTATGATAACATAGACATGAACAAGACATTGGCTTTTAAATACCATTTAATTTATTCCATGGTTGTATATTAGTTTGTTGTTATCTTTTTCAAGTTGATTTAGTTTTTGGCATAACAATAGTGCTAACCTTGTTCTATACCTTGCTTGTAACTTGTACTGTTAAATATTACTAATTATGACTGTTATATGATTATCATTTTTCGTTTTCTTCTGTTGATTTATTTTTAGAGCTGCTTTTCAAAAGATATAAGAGAATTGACTACATTGTAAATCTGATTGAATAATCCTCTTACAAATGATTTGATTTGTTGTTGTTGTTGTTTTAATTTCAAAATGCAGCTATCAAAACCAAAACAGACACGGCTAATTTTATTATATTATTTAGGAAATCATATGATTTGATTATAAAGAATGTATAAAACATAAATATTAAAATTAAATAAATAATTTGTCAAAAAATTGGAATACTTCTGTAATAACTTACCAATTCTTCATGGTCTTAATGAAAAAGGTCACACTCTATTTAAGGAAAAAATATTCACATACATACGTATATATATGTTTGGTTGATACAAATATTTTTTTTAAATTAAATTCAATTGAATTGTGGATACATTAACGCTACGATTAGACATATTAGTATAATTATCCTTAGTTTTCTACACATATTGTGTATCAAAGGTCTGACTCACTTGTAGTTAAATGTTTTAAGCGCTTGTTTGAATTTTTCAGACAAGACCTAGTCTCTTATACGATATATGTTCCATAAAGAAACAACATCCGTGTACTTGAAATGTATTATACATGTTTTATGATACTTCTGCTGCAAAATTTTAATTGTACAATAATATATTTTGTCTGAAAAATACAAATTATTCATGTAGTAAACGAAATTTTTTATATTGAATTTTGTTTCTTACAAGCTTATGTCCTTTCTGATTTAATTATATCTAATGTTGAGCGCTTCTGTCTTGTATTTCTTAAAAAGTTCTAAGAAGTACAGAATGTAACTCAAATATTACTCATACTTTCTCTATTTTTACAATGCCTTTTACCCAAAAGATTACAGGAGCATAGCCACCATCCGGCTAGCTTATTATGTAAACCGTTAACCTGTGAAATCGAGTTCGATTTCCGTATGGTGCAGGTCACTGTCGTCGCGATTGAATTTAGAATATTTTCTTCGATCATTTGCATTTTATCTCTGCTTTGGTATGTACAAACGTTTCAGTTATTGTAAAGGCATTTAGAACTCGTAAGCTGCTTGACAGCCTGCCCAGGAACGATGCGAATGCTAAACTGCATCCTTGTAAATACAACGTGGCTTGCTGCCGTGATCCGGAGTGAAAACTACATGACACCACCATGCAGGAGCAGAAATAATGTCAATGCTGACTATTTTTCCATGTATAATTCATTCGTTAAGGCTGTTTAAGAATTTATTGATATTTAAGTAGCATAATTCATACCATTATATTTCTATTGAATGTTATTGCAGTTTTCGCCACTTAACTATGATATTTACTTTGGTGGAGCTAGTTTTCAATATGTGCGGTTTAGTTTAAACAATGCAATGCTAGAAGAAATTAATGTTAGAAGATTCACATCCGTTACTTTAAAGATTGAAATCAGTAGCAGAATCAAGAACATATTGGAGCTTTGTCTCATGTTTGTTCTTCTACAATTGACAAAAAAAGAAAGTTTCCTTTATTACATTTCAACTGAAATCATGAACCTTGCTATAATTTATACTTATATAAAACACATAGTTATGGTGTTTAGTGGGCTCGAAGGATGTTGCATTATCCCTCATGTACAGACTCTGCAATTCATGTAATTTTGCTGTGATTAATGCTTCCGATGGATCACTGAAGAAGGTTGACATCGAGTACCCACTTATATATATTAAGTTACCTACGGTAGTCAATGTCTTTACCATCTTGATTGAAAAGAGTGATGTTTAGATCCATATGTTTTATGAAATCTAACAAAAATTTATGATAAAAAATGGAAACTTTAAGAATGCCCCAAAACGGCAAAATTGAAAATGTTGCGGTGGGTATTGATTGAACCTGTTTATGAACGTTGGTATATATATATATATATGCACCTCTCATGTTTTTATAAGTCTTGATCAAATTTAAGCTCATCAGTTCTTTTTCTGACTAATTCAGTTCTATCTTAAAAATATTTGTGCTAATTGATGAATATAATAGACAAACAAAATGTATAAAATGTGTCATCTTTAACATAAAAATCTAGAGTACAATAAAAGTGTATATTCCCAGATTTAATGTTTTGTCAGTATATGAGGGCAGGGCACAGATCCTATAGCATCCAATACAGTGAGACTCCTGCAGCGAAGCCGTACAGTTTAATATCGTGCGACACGCCTAAATGGTAAATTTTATTTGATCTCCCCGATACCCACACACCGGCTTAAGCAAAACACAACATTTGCACAACTCACATTATCTTTGTTAACTTTCGCATGATAATTGCAGCCATTGATAGAACAAGATTGAACAAATACAGAATCAATTAAGTGAAGTTGTACCTTTTGTATCGGGAAAATGAAAACGTTTGAAAATCAACTAGCATAAAATGTAACACAAGATGAGCAATGTTATTAAATCAATAAGTTCAAAATGTAAATGTTATAAATGATGTCATACAAACACTTATCATAATTATTCTATACATTGTACATTTCTTTTATCTATAAAATCGAATGTATCCCTTTGTGCGAAAGGCAAATATCGTAAAAAACAACGTTTTTTAACAAACAACAAATGAAAAAAAAGAAAAAAAAAGATCAAATCAAAAGATTAATGTTTTAGATATTGACTTTGGACATATAATAAGTATTTCCGTCTTGACGTATAAACTAACAGACCGAAAGCCAATATTACAGTTACGGTTTAACACATTCTTGTAATTTCGATATGTTGAAGAAAAACAAACGATACTTTCATAGGTCGTACATGTATCCTCCAGTTTCAAATTTTCTTATGTTAAATGTTCGATACGAGTCCGCTGAGCTCAATATTTATGCACGTATGAATTCTCCGTGCATTGTATCGATTGTCAAATTTTATGAGCAGTTTGTTTGAAAATACTTTCCACATACAAAAAATCCTGTTCATCAATTTCTTTCAATTGTTACATGTGGTCTTTTTCCTCCGACTAGTAGTTATGACTACGTCGGTTGTTGGAGATACAGAACTTGGTGTAGGATAAAACGATGTTATGATTCGGAAGTTAGTATTTTGTCTCAAGGTGCGCGGTGATAACTACGTCAGCTGCTGGAAATATAGTTCTCAGTGTAGTACAAATTGATCTTACGATGTTTTGAAAGATGTACATTTATAATCGTTGTTGACATGACTTCAATATAAAATGTGTTATATAAAAATAAAAAAAAGCTATTTACATTTACATCTTGAATGTCAGGCACAATTTCTGAAATAATAGTGGACAGACGACGCTGCAAAATATTGACTCGGGTTTGTTAACGGAGTTCCGCCTTTAGGGCGACACAGAGATCCGCATGCTGAACAATAGTTAAACCCTCGACAGCCAGATAGGCTGCTGCATAGGTTTTTGCAATACGATAGGCTCACTCCACTCTGTTCATCAAGATGGGAAACATCTAATGCCATATTTGGGTAATATATGTATGTACTCCCTAAATCATTGCAATCTGAAACGAAAACGAAAAAGTAACAGTTTTCTGTAAAATACGTTTTTTCACAATCGAAGAGGTATCATTTATATAAAAAAGAAGACTTTGGCTGACAAAAGAAAAGATGCCAAAATATCGTAACAAGTATTTTACACAACTTTGAATATATTGAATAAATATTTTGGTTGTGAAACGATATTTTATTCTAATAAAGCAAAAATCTTTCAAACCATTAGATATCTATTCTAATGTGTTAGATGATATTCATTTTTATTACTATCCTCACCGTATAAATGTGAATTTTAAATTCATCAAATTCATTACAATTATTTTGCCATCATTATTTTCCTAATTCCATCAGTGTATTAATCTCTATAAAAGTTTTTTTAAAAAAGGGTAATTGTTTTTATCGCTTTTGTTCTAAATCATCCATTGCATTGTCGTTGTAATTATCATTATTTTCAGTTGTTTCTTATTCAGATATTCTATAGAGTTTGTATTTGTATGTTGTCCAACATTGTTCATTTGTTATCTGTTTGCTTTTAGCAGCAGTCTTATTCATCGCAATCGTCATTTTAATTGTAAAGTGAGTATCTTATAAACCACCCTTAACAATGGTAATGCTGCTCTCTTTATTATTTTCAAACAAACATCTAAGGCTAAATCGTGATTTTTTTATTCTATGTTCGCCATAAAATTACAAAGTGATCGTTTCAAAGGAATGTCGTTTTTGTATTTTTAATTCAGCAAATTAATTGCATAAAACTGATTCAAGAAGCGTGATATGTGATTCTCGTGCTAAGCTATTAATCATTCTATTGATTATCTAAACTATTCTTTTAAAACACACTACGACGCAGTATCAATTTAAAATTAAATATTAGATATTTGACTTATATTCCATGCTTTTTAATAAATGAATATAATATCCAAATGCAGCTGAAGTACCTAATAAAAGTTGAAATTTAAGAGAACAACGCATGTGTGTGGTAGAGTTGTGTATCAATTATTCCATTACAACTGATGAGAATAAAAAATACGCATAACTTATTCAGTGAAAGTTATTGTTATATTGTTATATCATGTTATGGAAACAATAATAAATAAGAAAAATATTATGACGTGAATCACCTGAGCATGTGTAACTAGTGGATTTCACATTATAAGGAGTTATGTAACAGTGTCCTATTAACATTCATTTTATTCGCAATTTAATATATAAATTTTAGACACTAAACTGCAAATGTTATACATTGAAACACAAACAATGAATTTAAACACATTATTCTTTACAATTCACCTAATTCACACAATTTACGCCACATTAATTTGTAAGTTACTGTACAATTTACTCAATTTACACACTGTAAAAGGAAATTTATTTGTAAATTTGATACTGACAGATTTACAGATTAT